TCAACAAAAATTTGTGATTTACTAAAGAAGTATACAATCGTTCATCCCTTTTTCTGTAGCTAGTTTTATCAAATTAACCAGATTTGCGAAGTAAATGTGCAAAATACGATCACTTATATATTTTGCAATACCGTGTATATCCAATGATAAAATTTTATTAAAAAATTCACAATTGAGAAGTTCACTACGGGCACTGGTATATAAACTGATAATACAAAGATAAATTTTGCTTCCAAGTGGAGTAAGAAATATGTTTAGCAATGTGTTTATTGTAACTCCAGTCGCTGATGTAAGGCATTTAGTCAGATTTACTACATTTGCCTCACTACTATTGTAACAAATTTTCTCTAAGAGGCACGTCGATAGACTTGACGATAGATTCTTAAGAAAATTTTCAGCAGTGATGTTTTCACCTCCACACCCGAGTGATGGTATCATTTTTGGATTCAGACATTTCGGTAATTCAATCGATATATTCTGAAAATATCAAAAAATGTATAAACTTAAAAACTATTTATAAATTTATCACTAGGGGGGTTTGTCGTAGTGTGTAATTATGTAAGTGAGCTGTGAATGGGGTAGAGGTATGCTGATTTTTAAAGGAGTTATTTGAGTTTAAAATTCACCTCATAGAATTGTATTAACATTGCAAATTTTTGAATTTTCGGCTGTTACCGACCGTTGCAACATATTTTAACGAACTTAAACGGTTATTTTTAACGTTCCTTCAACAATTTTTCGCTGTTTTTGCCTTTTTATCAGTTTTCTTTGTTTTAAGCTAGGATTATTTTAAGCTTTTATTTTATTTAATTAATATTAAATTTTATTAGCTTCTTTTGGCTGGGTTCTAACCTAGAGGTAGGTAGTTTATTTGGCCCCAAAAAAAGAAGAAAAAAATTTTTTTTAAATTTTTATTTATTTATTTATTTTACTTTTTATTTTTTTCCACATCTGTATGAAGAGAATTGGGAACAATTCTCTGGTACAGATGTTCCAAGGCAATAGGGCCAGCTTTTGTTAGGATAGCCCAGGGCTTCTTAAATTATGGATCGCGACCCATTTGGGGTCGCTTAGCGAAATCTTGGGGTCGCGAGATTTTAATGCAAAATATTAAAAATAATTTGTGAGAGTTTGAAATTGGCTAGCTTTGTGTCATAGGTTTCGTGAGTTGCTCTTTGTGTGTGAGTTGCTTCTGGTGCAGGGAGACAATGATTTAGCAACACTGATTCAGTGGCGTACCGTAGTGGGGGCGGCCCGCCCCGGGCGGCACTTTTTAGGGTGCGGCAAAATTTCACAATAAATAATAATATCTTGTAAAAATTTGAAACATCCTAATCTATACTTGCATCGCGCCTACGATAGTGCTATCGTTCTGTAGACCTTTTTTTTGTTGTACGATAGAACTATTTTAAACGGGTCGCTGCACTACCACCGAATTTTTCATTGCTTTTTCTGTGACAAAACTGAATTTTGGTCTTTTAAATTGAAATAGCTATATAAAGGGGGGCGAAATTTTCCTCCGCCCCGGGCAGCTGACACCCACGGTACTCCACCGCACTGATTGTAGTGTGAACTAGTGTAGTGTTGTCGCTTTTCAGTGTATTCAGTTTTCTCTGTTCCATTGTAACACAAGAGTGAACTGTGGTAGTACATCATTATTGTTTTTGCAAATCTGTATTTATCTTTATTTTATATTTTTTTGGGTCGCGAAAAAATCACAATCATAAATGGGGTCGTGAATAAAAAAGTTTAAGAAGCCCTGGGATAGGCCATATCCTCTTACTCTCTTGTTGGTTAGTCTTGCTGGGGTTACACATTAAATATTACATAACAGTCAGGACTAGGTATTGCTACGCACTGCTGCACTGCTGTAACGGAAGTTGGAAAAACAACTGCTTCCGGCGTGTTAGTTTTCAAGGACTTGTAGATGTGAACTGAAAGTTCAAGAACTTTCAATTCACATCTACAGGAGATAGGTGCCTACATTCTGGCCAGACTACACAATCGATATGGATCGCTTGCAGAATTCTCAACCTGAAGTTGAGATTATGCTGTTAGAAGAGTCAATTTTGAAAGAGGCATCGAGCTTCTAGAAAGGGTCATGGAAATTTGTCCAGACACCCTTTGCTTCAGACCCAACAGGGAAGTGAGGAGCAAAATAAGGAACATAACAGCAAAACAGCACGGATGTATCCACCAACTATACGGAGTTCTGAGGGAACTCCAAGCTAAATCGTCTATCACGGCACCAACTCCAATACCCCAGACGCTTACTTATGCGGTCAGAGCAGAAATTAACTGTAGTCCAAGTCTACAACCAAAAATATCAACAAGACACTTAACAACAAAGTGAACATAGAAGGCCCAGGAAGGAGAATGGCCCTGATGTTATATCCTAAGCAGGATGAGAATGAAAGAGTGTTAATAGAAAAAAAAAAATAATTGCTACACTCAGGGAAAGAGTAGAGCCCCACAAGCTTGGGGTCAGCATAAAAGCCATTCGTGAAATCAAAAGAGACGGAGTCTGAATAAGAGTGGGGTCTCATAAAGATGGGCACACCCTCAAAAAAGCTGTGGAAGCAGTCCAAATCTGGCTACCAAGATTACAGCTAGGGTCTCTGAGGGATGACGTCCAAAAATCATAATGCTACATGTTCCCAACTATATTAAAAAACGAACAAATCACTGGAACGCTCTTCGAACAAAATTAAATCTGGGTGGAGATGACAAAAGAAGATTTCAAAGAGCAGTGTAAAATAACAACAACACTAACCGGAGGAAGGGTGAGCGAAAATTGTCGGCACGTCATATTGAGTGTCACTCCTAGGATTAGAAACATACTCATAGAAGAAAGATATTTGGCATTGGCCTGGAGCCACATCAAGGTGGACGATTTCATCTTGGTGTTGCATTGTTTCAAGTGCTGCGGATTTGGGCACTTCGCTCGTGACTTTGGGAGCAAAATGAGGTGTAGCCACTGCACAAAAGATTATAAGTTTTTCAGATTGTTCTGGCAAGAATTCCAAACCAATCTGCATTAACTGTATGATCTCAAACAAAGGTCTTCCTATGGGGAAAAGATATAATACAGAGCATAATGCCTACGACTCAATCTGCCCCACGACATAAAAATGAAGACGGCTTCAATAAAAGTCATTAATTATGGGTACTAGCAACCAGTACAATCCCGAACCTAAGTAAAAAGTTTGTTACTACTGAGTGTGTTCAAACTAGCCACTTCTCACTTCATCGAGTGTCGTTTTACATCCTACCAACAGAAAGCATCCAGGCTCCATTCCAGGACATAGGCCGTATTATTCAGTCCCTTTCCAACACTCCCTTCTACATTACTGAAGATTTCAATGCAAAATCGCCCTTGTGGTCTGCGCCGAAAGAAGATCCACGAGGTAAAGACCTCAGGAAACTTATTGAAGAGCATTACTTATTTTCTACAAACACCAGCGATCTCAAAATTTTCCACAACTTGGGGAAAGAGCTGGAGAGACGTGTGTATCTGCAATACCCCATTATTTAACAAAGTCATCTATTGTTCTACTCCTGACAAGGAAAATCCTAGCGACCATAATATATTTTGACTAAAATTGACCATTGTGTTCCAACAGGCAACATAAAAATTACAAGAAAGACAAACAGATGTATATGAAGAGACTCTTAAGGATATGGACCCGGGCCCCTTCTTTCACATTCAAGCATCTGGTGATCTTTTGATTGAAAAACTAACTTCTACTATGCTACAAGCACATAACTTCGCTACCAGGAAAAAAAACACTACCTGCGATGATCCGTAGAAGGTGCCATTTTACATTGCATTCAAAAAGGTCAAAGTCTCTAACATACCAAATGCAATAATGAAGGAAAATGGAAATTTCACAGCAGACCTGGATGAAACTTACGACTACATACTAAGTAGCCTTTTTCCAGAAAACAACCAACACGAAGGCACTGAAATTCATAAACGGGTCAGAGAAAAAAGCAAGTTAATCAACAACAACTCACTAGACAAGAACTTCACACCATCGGAGATAGGGAAACACTTCAGGCATATAAATTAGAAAAAAGCTCCCAGAATGGATGTCATCTAAGGAAATATGGCAGAGAGGGGCCTATCAGGTCATCCCCACTACATTCTTAGTGATTTACAAAAAAGTGTTTAGAATTGGGCTATTTCCCTAAGAAGTAAAACATATTCCATATTAAATTAATTCCTAAAGGCAACATTGGAAAACAGACCAGGCCGCAAGACTTCCGACCCATCTCGATGCTTTCTATCCTTGGAAAGGTGTTAGACACTCTAATTGCAAGGAGACTACAACATCATATGGAATCAAGGCAGCTGTTCCACCCAAACCAGCATGGGTTTAGGATAAACAGAAGTACAGGGACAGCCCTCTGCCAGCTTTTGGGGATTATTAAAGGAGCCAAACAGAAAGACATGCATACATTAGCTGTGTCTATTGTTGAGATTTCAAAAGAGCATTCGACTACCCATGGTTGCCGGTGATATTAGACTCCCTCAATAACAATAATTTCCCCAAAAACATCACTGCATTATTCAGGAGTTTTTTTTACAAGACAGAACAGCGTGTATTATAACAACACAACTACACTCACAAGAGCAATAAGTAGAGGCTGCTCCCAGGGATCTTGTTCTGGGCCTCTCTTGTGATTGTTGGCCTATGATGGCCTCTTGAGGTTACAGAACAATCAAGCTTCCAATCAAGCAGCTCCTGATGCTGACATAGTTGGCTACTCTGATTGCAATGAAGCACAAGAACCAAGAGGTATTGCAAGTTAACATGAATAAATTATTAAAGTCTGTCAATAGATGACCCGAAAATAACAAGCTTAAAATCAATATTGAAAAATGTAACTCAATAGTTTTTCCTAGGAAAAGGCCCCTAGACAAGCACCCAGCTATCAAAATCAATGGCTAAAAAATCCGGCAAGTACCAAAATAAAATATCTTGGGATCCTGATAGATAACACACTCACATGAAATACCCATATTCAAACATCAAGAAAAAATGTACTAAACTCGTCCATTCTCTGCACTCTATTTGTAGAAACCAATGGAGTATAAAACACTATACTTAGCAGAACAATCTACAAATGTGCTATTGAACTAGTGGTACTCTATGGGGATGAGGTTTGGGGAAAGATAGTCAGGAAGCAACAGACTAAAAGAAACATTTTATCCATCCAATGGGCCTGCCAGCAAACTGTAGCAAGAGCCTACAAAACAGCACTTGCCAATGCGCTCCAGGTACTGGCAAACTTAGCTCCCTTAGTCCTCAAAATCCTGGAAACATACTGGAAGTTTCATCTAAGTAGAAATCCTAGTAGACTCCTTACAGAGATTGACCTTCCAGCAAGTATTAAAAGCATAGCTGAGTACATCATTAAACACAATATGGACTACACCCATAGGCATCACAAACTGCACCCTGCCTGCAGCC